TAGTTAGAGATCTTTATCGAGCCCCAAGGAGATGACTCAACCTTCTCCATGGCTTGATTACCAGACTTATTCTGGCCATTTATTTTTTTTTAATTTGTTATTTTTAAAAAGATCTTATTTATTTGACACACAGAGGGAGAGAGAGAGATCACAAGTAGGCAGAGAGGCAGGCAGAGAGAGAGAAAGAGAGAGGGAAGCAGGCTCCCTGCTGAGCAGAGAGCCCATGTGGGGCTCGATCCCAGGAGCCCGAGATCATGACCTGAGCCGAAGACAGAGGCTTAACCCACTGAGCCACCCAGGCGCTCTGGCCATTTCTTTTTTAATGACGACTTTGGCTATTTGCATCCTGAAAACGCTTTTGCAGCAGACATTCCCACCTGTTTTTGGAGCCTCGTGGTGTGTTCTCAAGATCGATGCTGGCATCGAATCACAAGGAGAACCAGACTGTCAGCAATGATGGCTAACCTCGCCGGGCCCCTACTGCGTGTAGGACACCGTTCTGGCTCCCTATCCTGGATGATAATCCCAGGAGGTGGTCACCACTGTGAGCCACACATCTTCGAGGGGAAAACCAAGGCATAGATAAGGGAGAATGTGCTCAGGATCACATAATGAGCAAGGGGCAGAGCTGGGATTGGAACCGGAGTAGTTTGGATCTCGTGCTTCTGTTGTTCCTCAGTCAGAGACACACCTGTGCACACATGGGACCCCTCCCTTCCTCAGTCCTAAACATGCAGCATCACACTGGAATCATGCAATTCCAAAGCAGCTGGTTGTGCACCCCTAACTCCACAAAGTGTAATTATTTTGTACTGCTGTGTGTTGCAGTGTATACACAACACCTGTGGTGTTTACAGGTGTATGCTGGGCCCTACGCCTTCCTGGCCGATCTAGGGCTGAGGAGGCCCAAACCCAACTTTCCCAGAGATTTGGCTAACTTGTACAACACGATTCCCCCTCTGGTGTTTCTTTCCTCCTCCAACACCTGTTAACATGGTCATGGCTAGGGGCTCCTGGGTGGCTCAGCTGGTTAAGGGTCTACCTTCAGCTCATGATCCCTGGGTCCTGTGATCGCTGTGTCCTGGGATCAAGTCCTGTATTGGGCTCCTTGCTCAGGAGGGAGCCTGCTTCTCCCTCTGCCGCCCCCGCCCCCCACTTGTGCTCTCTTGATCTCTGTCAAATAAATAAATCTTAAAAAAAATCCCAAACAAAAAACCCAAAACACATTGCCATAGCTCAAGACCAACTCTATTCTATCGGGTTCTTTCCTTCCCTTTCTTCTTTTCTTGTTTACACACCCACATTCAGTCCTTTCCTCACTTGCTTGCCTTCTCACTTGTGTACTTACTCAGCAAACATCACTGATGTCTTCTGTTAGGCTTTGCCTCTTTCCTGGGGGAGACGGAGGATCCAGGCCAACTGGAAGTTGACAGAGGCTGCTGGGGTGGGGGGGATCGGCCACAGGTAGGGGCTGGAGGGCCATGTGGAACCCAAGGAAAGGGAGACGAATTTTGCTAGGAAAAATCAAGGCACACTTCCTGGAGGGGGTACCTGTTCTCAGGGCCTCCTAGTGGGGAGGGAAGGTGCTCCTCCCTCCAACTACTTCCTGCCCAGTCCCTCCCTTGAGCCCTACGATGGTAAGGGTGAGGAGTCAGGTCCTACCCCAGAGGTGAGGAAAATGGCCCACGCTCCCCTTGGGGAGACCGCTGAGCCTAGAGGTGCAACTCCACTGAAGGTGGGGAGCTAACAGGGTGATGCTGAGAGCCTTGTGATGGGCAGGGCTGCCTGGCTCAGATGTCCCAACCACAGCAGCACGTCATGGCACTCCCTGGCTGTGGCCTGAGCCTTCCCCGGGCTGCCAGCGCCTGTTTCCCCTCCTTGGGGGGAATGTATAGATCCCCATCAAGCCCCTGGGTGTAAGGAGTTCCGAACAGTCACCATGAGTCATGGAGGCTAAGTGACTTCAACCTTTGGTGTCTTAGGTAGGTCCTGTTGGGAAGGACCATGGACTGGGGTTATGGAAGATTCAGAGACCAGACGACACCAGCTCCCCTCCATTGAGCCTTCAAGATGGACCAGAGAGAGTAAATATTTTGGGCTCTGTGGGCCAGTCTCTCTTTCAGTGCTCAGCCCTGCCACACTATGGCAAAGGTACGACATGGAAATGGACGGGCACTGTGGTGTGGGTGTGCCCTTCGAACTTTATTTGTGGACGCTGACATTTGAATTGCATATTATTTGCACATACCACGAAATCTTCTGCTTTTGACGTTTCCCCACCACTTAAAACCAGAAACGATGAATGTGTAAATGATGAATGAATAAAATGTGTCATCGGTGGACTGTGATTTGTTGATCTCTAGAGCCCATGCTGGCAACTGTCTGTACTTCATTCGTTCAGGGAATATTATTGAGGCTGGTAGTTTTCTAGGGCAGATGGAGATGTGACATTCCAGGAGATAACAATCTCCTGGGCAAAACAAGCCAGGAAACAAAATGAGCGAGGATATTTCCGATGGTGGAAATGCTACCAAGGAAATACCATGGGGCCATAGACCCAGGACCGGAGGGCAGGACGCTTTCTTTTGGGTCCTCAGAGAAGGTGATGCTTGCAGTCTTCCAAACACCTCCTTTGGTCAGCTCCCTGGCTGTGGCCTGCTGTGGGGTAGGGCTTGATGATAAATGGACTGGTTCCTGCTTGGTTCCTAGGAGAGGGGTCTTCTACCATCCCATCTTTCCAGTCCTGAGTGCTGAGTGGGGATGAGGGTTGGGGTGGGGAGAATTTCAGCTCCTGCCTTCGGAGTCAGGGGTCAGTTTTCCAGTGTGATTCTTCTACTCTCAGATGGCTTCCTCTGCCCAGAAACTGTCCTTCCAGCTCTCCTGAGCAAAAAGCAACATTAGAAATGGCTGTTTTTTGGGGTGCCTGGGTGGCTCAGTGAGTTAAAGCCTCTGACTTCGGCTCAGGTCATGATCCCAGGGTCCTGGGATCGAGCCCCGCACCCCATCGGGCTCTCTGCTCAGCGGGGAGCCTGCTTCCTCCTCTCTCTCTCTCTCTCTCTCTCTCTCTGCCTACTTGTGATCTCTGTCTGTCAAATAAATAAAATAAAATCTTAAAAAAAAAAAAAGAAATGGCTGTTTTCCCACCTGCTGGGGAGAAAAGCTAGTGTCTCTTTTGGGGATCAGCTTGAAGCAAACTCCTCAATGTTAACCTCCACCCCCCACACTCTCTTTTGGAGTTGGCGGGGGTTTGGGAGGGGGTGGGAATGTTACCCACAGCCGGGGAGCCTTGGGGGATGCTGATGGTGGAATTCTGCTGGGGACACATTTGGCTTCCCGTCCTGCTGGCTGATAATCTCGGTTTAGTTTCAAAACTATCGCTTAGCTGTCACCGCAGTGGGCTTTCAGGAAAGTGCCAGTAGAACCTGGTACTCAGCTCATGCTGTCTACACACGGTGACGCTGGACCTGAAAGTGGTGCTGCCTGCCGGCCTGGGAAAGACCATTCCAGCCAGAGGGATGGCAGGTGCGAAGGGAGGACCCTGGTACAAGGCAGTGCAGCATCTCTAACTTAGGCCAGTGCCAGAATCCTGGTCTGGAGGGCTCAACCACACACTGAGAACTGAGCTTCTACACTTGATCTTAGCCAAAAGGCCGAGAAGCGATGAGAACTGAGCTTCTGCTCCCGGAGTGTCAACGGGTCTAGTTTGCGGTGCTAGAATTTGCATAACTAACAAATCCCCAGGTGCGGCTCCCTCGCTAGCTGGGGTGTCACACTTTATCAACAGTTCAGATACAGGAAGCATTTAGCACCTGCTAGCACCAACAACAGCCCGCAGCATCACTGCGTGCTTCCCGTCATTGTCCAAGGAGGCCCAATACTACAAAATAAAACGCAGGGGAACCATCCCATAATGATTCTGTTGAACCCAAATCCCGCCCGTCCCCCATCCCCCCCTCCATTTCCCGGCTGTCTATCAAGGCAGCGCGGAGATCCCTTGCCAGGCCAGTTTCCGCTGCGGAGCCGGGCTTCTGGAGGAGCCCAGGGCTTTCCCAGTGCTGCCTGTCTCTCAATTCAACGTCGCTTCCTCTTTTGGGTCCGAATTTTCACCCCTGCTCTGCTCCTCCTACCACCCCGCCTCCACCAGGGGAGAGTGAACGGGAAATTTGAGTTTCCTCTGCTTTAGCCAAGACTGTCCCTTCCCTGTAAGGGGGATTTCTCTACCTGGACTCTCCAGTCTTGTGCTTGTGGGGTCCAAAAGGGGCCCCTGACGGGAAGCGTCCAGGTGGGTGGGTGGGGGCAAGCCAGGAAAGGCTCCCCGGGAAAGTGAGGGAGGGTGAGGGGGGGCTACTGAGCTTGCCACTCGGGGTTCCTACGGCGGTGGGGGGGGTTGGTGTTTATGCTCCAGAGAAGGTGGCGGAGGCTGTTTCCTGACCCCTCTGCAGATATGCTGGATTTAGGGGAGCGCTGGGTGAGCCCCAGGAATGGGGGTGGCTAGGGAGTGGCAAGAAGGAAGGGAACGAGAAGGACTGAGAGACTAAGAAACCGAAAACCAGAGAGTCAGAGACAGGGAGAGACCCAGAGATACCCAGAGGGACAGACACAGACGCGCAGATAATGAGGCCAGAGATGGAAGCACCGCCTGAGACCTCATAGGGTGACAGTCCACAGAGACGGGGCCAGATCAAGAGCGAGAGAGGCACAAAGAGGCGATGCGGAGTTAAAGACCCTCAGAGAGGCAGAGGCGGAGAGAGATAACCGGAGAGACACGGGAGGGAGAGACCTGAGGACGAAGAGGAAACGGTGGGGTAGGCCTCAGAGGGCGAGAAAGCAGATGGAAAGCGGAGAGAGATTCAGAGAAGAGAAAGTTAGGGAAACTTCAGACGCGAGGCGGAGAGGGCGGGGCGCCGGGATCCCCACGCACTCCGCCCCGGAAAGCTCGGCTTCCTGAGTTCTATAAAGCGCGGGGTCCCGGGCCCGGCTGCAGCCGCCCGTCGCCGGCCATGTGCCCCCGCACCGACGCCTCCCTGGACCCCGAGGCCCAGCTACCGCCCGCGACCCCCGGCAGCGCCTGCCGCCCGCTGTCCTGGGCCCTGAGCGCCGCGCTGCTGCTGCTCGCGGGGACCTGCGCCGCCTGCGCGTTCCGCTGGGCCTGGCCCTCGGCCCCCGCCGCGCCGGGCCCCGGGCTCCCCGAGCTCCCCCAGCTCCCCCAGCTCCCCGAGTTCCTGCCGGACGCCGGCGCCCGCCTCCCCGACTCTCCGCAGGTAAGATGCGCCCGGAACCCCTTCCCTCACCGGGCCCCCGAGAGCACCCCTTCCTTGCCCAGGACCTCGGTGCGGGGCACCCCGTGAGACCCCCATCTGCGTCCCGGGCCCCGGAGGGTAACCCTTTCTCCGTCGCGGACTCCCGAGGGCTCTTCTTTATCTCCAACCGTGAAGGGGACTCAACTCCCGGGGAACCTCGCTTTTATCCTGCGCCCTTGGGGTCTCTGCCTTTCTTCCCAAGGGCCCTTGGAGGGAATCGGTCCTCCTTTCTCTGCTGAATCCCGAGGTTCTGTCCTTGCGGAACCCAGGGGTTGGTGGAGCTTCGGGTGTGCGTGATGCTCGCGTAGTTATACGGAGCACGGGGGAGGTCTCGGGACCTGCGCAGACCCCAGGGATCCCCACTTTCCAGGGGGCTGCGGAAGCGGGACGGGAAGCCTTCACCCACTTTCCGCCTTTCCCCTCTCCGCAGGGCGTGTTCGCGCAGCTCGTGGCCCGAGATGGTGAGTGTCCCGCGGTCATTCCCTTTGGGCTTTCGGGGCGGGGGTAGCAACAAGGTGGAGGAACCCCGGGACAGGGTGGCCTCCTCTCCCTCCGTGTTACTCTCTTCCCCTCCTCTCTAAAAGCTGTCCCCTCACCTCTTTGAACCTCCTCCATCTTCCTGACCTTCCCATGACCCTCTCAGGGTGCTGGCTTTTCCTCCTTGGACCCTCCAATGTACCTACCTCAGTCTCCCCACTCCCAACAGACCAGGGGCTTGATCCCACAGATCCCACCTGCTCTTGTCTCTCCCGCTGGGCTCTGGGAGGTCTGGTCTCCCTCCCCCGCCCCCACCTCCGTTTGCTCCTTTTAGAGACCTCCTCCTCATTCCCTTGCCCATCCAGACTCTTCCTCCCTATCCTCTCCCTTCCCTTCCCCTCTGCCTGCCCCCTCCCCACTTGTCTGTTCTTCTCAGTCCTCTTCCAGACTCTCCTCCCCACGCCTTCCCCTCGGTCTTCTCTCCCTTCCTGACACTCTCCCTTCCACCTCCTCCCTCTCTGGGTCCCCTCTGGGCTGTGCCACCTCCCCCGTTCCCCTCACCTTCCCGCCTACTGCCTTCCTCCCTCCCCACCTTGCTCTCCGCAGTCTGACGGCCCCTCTCACCCTCTCACCCTCCTCGGGCTTCCTTCTGCGGTTTCCACCCTGCACCCCCACTCCCGCTCTTCCCAACTGTCTTCCCCTCCCCTCCCTCGGAGTCCTGTCCTCCCTTCCTTCCTTCTCTCGCCAACCTCACCTCTGTCTCAAAACCTCTTCCTTCTGAGCCTTCTATCCCCCTCCAGCTCAGAGCCCCAGCACCTCCTCCCCAGGGCTGCATCCCCGCTGCACAGCCTTGCTCAAGAAACCTCCCCCCTGGGGCGCCTGGGTGGCTCAGTGGGTTAAGCCGCTGCCTTCGGCTCAGGTCATGATCTCAGGGTCCTGGGATCGAGCCCCGCATCGGGCTCTCTGCTCAGCAGGGAGCCTGCTTCCTCCTCTCTCTCTACCTGCCTCTCTGCCTGCTTGTGATCTCTCTCTGTCAAATAAATAAAAAAAAAAAAAAAAAAAAAAAAAAAAAAAAAAAGAAACCTCCCCCTTTTCTTTCTCCCTCAGTACAGCTGACCGAAGGGCCCTTGCGCTGGTACAGTGACCCCGGCCTGGCAGGCGTGTTCCTGGGGCCGGGCCTGAGTTACGACCAGCACACTGGGGAGCTGATGGTGGCCGAACCCGGAGTCTACTATGTTTTCTTGCACCTAAAGCTGCAGCGGGTAGTATCCAGCCAAGGCTCGGGCTCTGTCTCTGCCGCCCTCCACCTGCAGCCAATTAGTGCCCCGGGTGCAGCCCTGGCCCTGACCTTGGACCTGCCTCCTCCATCCTCAGAGGCCCGTGACTCCGCAGCTGGTTTCCGGGGCAGCTTGCTGCACCTGGACGCGGGCCAGCGCCTGGGTGTGCACCTGCGGGCTGAGGCAGGGACACACCTCGCCTGGCAGCTGGCGCAGGGCGCCACCGTCTTGGGCCTCTTCAGGGTGGCCACCAAAGTCCCCGCTGGACTCCCCTCGTCATGACCCACTGACATGGGGCCTGGCTCCCGGCCCCTGGACGGAGAATGAACGTTGCCTTCTTTCAATGGGACTCTTGGTGACGGAGTGTCCCAACTACTCTACCTCACCTGGCTTGGCAGGGGTCCCCGCTGCTGACCCCCTCCTCAAGGACTCTCCAGGTCGCTTTCCAAGTCGCTCTCCCGTTTCTGCCCCAAGTCGGACTTCTGGTATTTATTCTGAGCCTGAGCTCAACAGTGGACTTTATATTAATCCATTCCATTTCTATTTATTGAGCATCTGCTGTACACAAGGGCCTGAGCAGGGCTGGCGAAACATCAGTAAACAAAACAGATTTTGAAAAAAAATCGTTATTTATGTTAATATGTGAGAAATAAAGACTCATCCCCAGCCTCCGTTTTGGCAACCAGGGGGCTAGTCTTCGGGGGTCTGTGTGACTATACTGCGTGAGCTCCACGTGCGAAAGTCGTTCTGAGCACGTCCTGTGTGTCGGGCACTGTTTTAGGTGTTGGGGACACAGCTGTGAACAAGACAGACAGATAGCCCAGCTTTTGCACATCTGGCCCCCAGGTATGCCTGCTTGGCCCTAGGACTGAGACAGTGTGCGTCCCTGTGTGACTGCACCACGCGGGAGACTGTGCGATGGTGTTGGTGCTGGATAATGGGACACTTGTATACTCAGCGACTGCCCAGTATTGAACCTTTACCGTATGTCAGACAGCCTGAGGGACCTTCTTTGAGCCATAACGACCCTATGCTTTCGGGACTTCATACCTGTTTTGTCATTCTTTCTGCTGGGGACGTGACCTGCTTGTATCTGCGTGGCAGAAGTCCCGTGTAATTCTGTTCCGCAGGACCTCCCTTGCCATCTCTGTTCGGTGACCTCAGGCTGGTAACTTGAAATTGGCCGTGGGCGTCTGCAAACGCTTCAGGCTGGCTTCACGTGATTGTGTGCGGATCACCTGTTGAAGACAGTGATGGGGAGAGCGTGGATTAAACATGTAGATTAAACTCGGAAGTGTGTCTTGTCTTGAGCCGCGACGCTGCAAAGAGCACATGAGAAATTGAGGAATTTGTCTTGTGTTTTTGGACGGTTCATCTGATTTAGCAAAGAAGCTGCTCAAGATGATTGAATGAACCTTGTCACTTGGAGCCATGCAGGGCTGTGGGTGCAAGTGTGGAAAAACCCAAGACTGGGTTCTGTAAGTGTTGACTATGCAATTTGCAATGGAGAGTATTTTATGGGGGCACCTGGGTGGCTCGGTGGGTTGGGAATCTGACTCTTGATTTCAGCTCAGGTCAGGATCTCAGGGGTGTGGGATCTGTGTCCCCTGTGCACTCAGGGAGGAGTCTGCTTGGGATTCTCTCTCTCCCTCTGCTCCCCCCACTGCGTATGCAGACACATGCTCTCTCTCTCTCAAGTAACTAATTAATTCTTTTTTTAAAAAAAAAGGAGAGAATTTTATGTATCTTTTGTAGATACCTGCTGCACATTTTGCCATCCAAATTTATAATAAACACCCATATTCATTTTTCCCTGTCTGGAGAGCCGGTTGTTAGAAATTTGTTAGTTTCCCACTCTCTCCAGACCAGTCAGTCCTCCCAGCACCGTAATTTCCCCACCACGCTGATCTGCCCACTGGTCTATGTAAACCAGCTGAGTCTTGGCTTCTCACATAGAATGAGAGGGGTTGGGGTGGGCAGAGAAGACTTCACAGAGCAAGTGACCTAGATGGGCCTTAGGAGGAGGGATGGGAACCAGGGAAGGGGAGGGGGAGAGTGGCCTGCATTGGCCAGACAGGAAGGTGTGGGATGGGCAGTGAAGATGGGGATGTGGAAGTGAACACCATTTTGTCTAACCCATCTCTACTTCTTCTCAAAGAGTTCCTCCTGAGTGGGCAGGGCTGACATTGAGCTGACCCCTATGAGTGTCACCCTGATTGAGCATTAAATTATTGACCTCATTCTAGGGGTGCCTGGCTGGCTCAGTTAGAAGAGAATGCGATCCTTGATCTTGGGGTTGTAAGGTCAAGCCCCACGTTGGGTGTTGAGATTACCTTTAAAAAATCAGATAATAATAATAATAACAACAATAATAAATAAGCTTTAAAAGACCCACAAAAAATAAATAAACTGTTCCATACTATTTGGTTGTCCCTTGAAAAAAGGAAGTATGTGCAAAATGACAAATCCTGTAAGATGGAAGTGCAGCGTGACGAGAATAGGATTATTAAGGGGACTTACAGACAGAAACCTGTTTTGAGTGGCTGCGGGAGGAGCAGGTCCCTGAAACCTCCACCTCCTGGCAGTCCTGCTAGAGGCTGGGAGTCCGTATGGGGGGCACCGAGGAGGGGACACTCAGAAGGAGAATGTTTGAGAATAGTTGTGTCACAGTCATGTCTCCAGAGCAGAATAAGGACCCAAGATCCTCAAGGAAGTGGTTAATAAAAGGGAAAGGATGTATGTGGGGGAACTGTGCTCAAGAAGGCTTCGGGACACAGTGCTCTTCGTGGCCATTTGTCCAAGATGACTTCAGTCTGGTTCCCATATTGGCAAATGACTGTTACTCCCCGCCCCCACTGCTAGATGGTTGCTTTGGACTTCTAGGAGGGCCCTTGCCGTCCAAAACCTTGCACTTGGTTCTCCTCCAGGGTTGGTGGGGGAAGGGTGCTCCCCAGAACTCTGGGATGTGGGGTGGGTGAGTGGGTGGGTGGGGGCAGCCACAGGCTAACCTAGTTGTTGCCTATTTTGAATAGCACCAGGTGACACTGTCTTCTGGCGCAGCTGATTGGGCCGGGGCAGACACATGACTCAAGCTGGGCCAATCAGAGCTCCTCCACAGGAACAGGGGCAGGTCTGGCTCTACCAACCGCCCTGGTCAGGAATGGGAGGCTGTATGTGAGCCAAGGTGGAAGGAAGCATGTGCAGAGAGAGGGAGGGAGGGGCCGGGGGAGGAGGAAGGTGGGTGGGGATTCACAGATGAGACCATTAGCACCCTAGAGAGGCAGAGGAGCTACCTACTTTGCCTACTTGCCTCTTTCTGGTGACGTGGGTTGCTAGCACTTTAGTTTCCTAGAGTTGCTCTAGTAACGGACCAGGAGGGGCACCTGGGTGGCTCAGTGGGTTGGGCCACCGACTCTTGATCTTAGCTCCGTGTTGATCTCAGGGTCGTGAGTTCAGGCACCCCCTTGTGCTCCAAGCTGGGTGTGGAGCCTTCTTAAAACAAACCAAAAAACAAAGTACCGTATACTGGGTGTCTTAGAGTATCAGATAATTATTTTCCACCAGTCCTGGAGGCCAGAAGTCCAAAGTCAAGGTGTTGGCAAGGCCATGCTCTCTCCAAAGGCTCTAGGGAGGAATCCTTCCCTGCCTCTTCCAGCTTCTGGTGGATGGCGTTCCCCTGCGTTCCGCATTACCCCCATCTCTGCCTCCCTTGTGGCATGGCTGTTTTCCTTCTGTGTGTCTCATCTCTCTTCTCCTCTTCCTATAAGGACACTGCTCTCATACTGGATGTCGACTTACATTACTCCAGTACAACCTCATCTTAATTTAACTAGTTACATCCGTAAAGACCCTATTTCCAAATAAGGTCATATTCTGAGGTTCCAGGAAGGACATGAAATTTTTTTTTCTTTTTTTTTTTTTTGGTGAGGGTTGCTCAACCCAGTACATTTAGTATCTGCCCTTGTGTGCTGTGAGAAACCTGAGTGTCCTTTCATGAATTTCCTTCTGGGGTGGGTTCTGCTCCATGTTGCCCGAGGATGCAGGCCCTCAAGGCTATTGGTGACTTTCTTGGTAGTTTCGGGATTTGAGAGTCTATCCCACTTCCTGGGTTATTTGGGCTTGGAAGTGTCCCACAGCAAGGATACTTGGCCCCATAATGTTGTGGGATGTTACTAAGACCCAAGGTACAAAGATGGAATTCTGTAATAGTGACAGGAATTGTTAATTTATTAATGCTTAATGGTCCCAGGCAGTAATTGCTTCGCAAAGACTCCAACAAGAAGATGCTATTTTATTTTCATTCCCATTTTATAGGCAAAAGAAACGAAGGCCCAGAGAGGTCAGCCCAAAGTCACATAGCCAATAATAGGTAGTGTGGTCAACAGTGTGAAATGTAGAGCCGGTCTTCCTGGAATCCTGGCCAGTTCTTCTTTTTTTAAAGATATATTTATGTATGTATTTGACAGAAAGAGAGAACAAGCTGGTAGGGTGACAGGTAGAGGAAGAGGGAGAAGCAGGCTCCCCACAGAGCAGGGAGCCCAATGTGGGGCTCAAGTCTAGGATCCCAGGACCCTGGGATGCAAGCTGAAGACAGACGCCTAACCAACTAGCCACCCAGGTGCCCCCACCCCCCCCACCCTGATTACTTCCAAATTTGGGCTGAATTGTGTGCCCCAGATTTATATGTGGAAGCTCTAAACCCCAGGACCTCAGAATGTGACTGATATTTTCTTTACAGAAGTAGTTATTATAAGGGCCTACTTAATCAGAGGGAGCCATTTTGTTGCAGTAAACTTAAATTGACCCTGCCCCTCCCAGAGGAACTTACTTGCAAAGCCTAGATATAAGGGCGGGTCAGGCCAGGTGAAGACATCCAATCAGTGGGGCGCTCATATATCTACTAGGGTAAATTGAAATTCAGTTGGCCACCCATGTGTAACCTAGCAGTTTTTTTTCTGTGTGTGGCAGACCTAGCATGACTGTGCAGTTTTCTCTGTGTATTGCAATCTCATTGGCCACCTGTGTATAGCCCGGCTAAACTACCTCTATAAAAGTACATCTGTGAGGCTGGGAGGGGTCGCCTCTTTGCAAGAGACGGCCCTGACTGGTCAGTTTGATTCTCGATGCTTGGCACGAAATAAAGCTTTGCTTGACCTTCGCTCTGTATCAGTCTCGCTCCTTTGATTAGGGACCCTAACAGTTATGTTAAAATGATTTTTTTTAAGCTGGGTCCTAATCCAGTAGTATTGGCATCCTTGTAAAAAGGGAAATATGGAGATAGACCTGTGCAC